GGAGGAGGAGAGTATGGGATTTCGTTTGTGGAGAGTGTAAGAATGCGGGTTGTCGGAAGTCGAAATCGAGAGCGGAGCCATTGCCAATTTGCCAGCACATCATCGATTCTCGAAGATTCGGAGTTTCTACACGCAGCTAAGATTGGATTGGTCAGCTAGAGTCAACTCGGGCTTTGCGAGGCACACCCACACATTTGAGTGGGGTGATGCCGATGCGATACCAGGACATAGTTTTAGCTAGCTACGATGGTCTATCAGGCACCGAGCAAGCAGTAATTTGAGAAATCAGTCGAAGTTGGTCGGTGGAGGGACTCGAGTGTATATGTATTTCGTTTGTGGAGACTATACGAAGTCGAATCGAATCAAATGGAATGGAAGCTGGGTGAGAGACAGCGGAGTGCCAGCACATCATCGATTCGAAGATTCAGAGTTTCTAAAATTGCATTGGTCACAGCAAGAGAGCTGAGAGCTAAGAGTCGGGGCTCGGGCCTTGCGAGGCACACAGGATATAATTTTAGTTGGTTGAGATGGTGTATCACGAAGCAAGAATCGAGCGAGCAGTAAGTCGGAGTCGGTCGGCGGAGACAAGGAGACTCAGACTCTGGCGTGGGTGGATAATGCGGACGAGTCGGAGTGAGTAGGGTATTGGCGTTGGGATACATAGGTGGGATCGACCAGAGACCTTGGAAGGAGTACAATTTTAGATTTGGACTCGGAGCCTCGATCGAGAACTGCCTTGAACCCAGCCAGGCTTTGGGAAAATCAATGATTGCCTTTGAAGTTTGGAAGATAGACGGGGGCGCAAAAGATTCAGCCCGAATGAAAGACATAACGGATGATGAGATAGGGTGGCCATCCGCAGTGAATGCGATACGATACCATTCCACACCACGAGAGTCGAAAGGATGAGCCGACCGAAAAGCGCTGCCAGCTGAGACGGTAGACCTGAGCTCCGAGTAGTATTAGCCCGACTGAGCGTGGGGGCGAGGTCCAGAAGCCTTCGCAGAATGAATAATCAGCTTGAATATGATAGCGGTTTGAAAAGATGGATAGACGGGGGTGGCGCAGAAATCCTCGTGAATGATTCAGCCCTAATGATTCAGCCTGAATGAAAGAAAGACATAACGAATGATGCATGGATGAGGATATCATAGAGTGGCCCTGCGCTCCGCCGCAGTAAATGCGATACGATGCGATTTCACAGACTTCAAGACGATGAGCCGACCGAAAGGCGCTGCTGAGACTTGGCTGAGACGTCCGAGTGCCCGACTTAGGGCGAGCGTGGGAGTGCTGCGTGCGGTGCCATGGCGAAGTCGCAAACCGAGGTGCGGAAGACAAGTAAGCACAGTCGCGGGAGCGCGGTAAGTGCTCAGTGCTCAGTGCAGATTGTCAATGCCGACGAGGAGGCAATCCGATGCGCGGGACGGACGGAGAGACGGAGATCGCACTTAACGACAAACGACAGTCGTCTCAAGCCTATGTACATAAGCTCGACGGAGCACAGCAAAGCGGGGATCGCAGCGTTGCGATCCACACCGGGCATTCCGAAACCGGATCCCTCTCAATTGATGCTTGAGTGGGATTGGTGGAAAGGGGTGTACGCATCATCGGAGTAGTGATGCGCTCCGGAGCGGGGCGTGTCATCGATAAGTGCGAAGTCAGCAAAGGGGCATTTTGTCATTCGACGGATCGTGCAGAGGTGTGTTGCGATCAAAACACCGCTCCGCTTTGCTTGTGGGTGTCAACGCCAACGCAAGCGACGTCGGCGGCGGGGGCCGGGGTGAGGTCATAGAAGATAGCTGGCTGGCCGTCGGGAAGTAAATCAAAGTATTTACTGGACTAGGCATTGTACTGGATTTGGGAGGGTCACCTCGCTTTAGCTAGGTCCCCCTCCGTCGATTGCTCTTACGTATACCGTGACTATAACACTTTGTGACTAGATAAGATGGTGGCAGTGACTCTGGAGAATGATGATAGTCGATTCTGTGCGCATCTGTGCTAAATTCACAACATGCACAAATTCTCCTCGGCTTCGATGCCGCTTGATTCCCAACCCATGTCGAAATGCCGGTTCGGCCCAATGCGAGCTGGTCGACGCGCTAGCGTCGACCGAGCGAGTGTTGGGCACTGGGGAGATATTGAGTCTTGACAATAGCTTTGCAGCAGCGTTGGAATGCTGGATTTAATAAGTACCCCCATGTCCTTGAGCTGCTTCGTTGTCACCAATCAATTCTTGCAATAAACTTTATTATCTGTTTATACTCTCAAGCTCTCAAGATCTCGAGTTTGATTTTATCTTGTGAATCTTCGGTTCGTGCAACCGAGCTTTTACAGCACGGCTGAGTCCGCAGCCGACTGTCTTCACCACCGCTTGAGCCGCGAGAGTTGAATTTTGAAAGCGGCTTCAATGCCGAAGGCCCAGCCGGATCAGAAACAAGACGGGCTTGTGCCGGGGCCGGAAGTTCGTGGGTTCGGCCAAGCGAGGTGTAACGGCTGCATCCCAGCCGCCTGGTACTTAGAAAGAGGACAATGGGGAGTTCAGCGGAAGCAGAGTCAGGGGGCAGTTGTGGACAATTAGGGACAATGCAGACAAGGATGATTAGATAGAGCGTGATGGAGTGGAGTACCGTTGTGTCACACGGTCGCAAGGGGCAGGAGAACCGTGCCGTAAGTGTGATCCGAAGTATGTACTCCTCATGGCTCCATCCTCTTTAAATCCTTCATCCCCTCCATCCTCCCCTCCCACTCGACTGCAAGCCAGCTACCCTCTCCCCTTCGCGTCTCTGCCTTTCTTGTTCTCTTTTCTCTTCAGAGCCAGACGACCCGAACATAATAATGTCTACCCTCATCGCATCCTGGACATCCTCTCTCCCATACCACCCCACTCCCCTCCACACCCAATCCGCAACCTGGAACACAAAATTCCACTCATCCTCATCTGGGTCACTCCCAGCAGTGCGGATGTCGTCCCCCGCACCCAAACCCCGCCTGCGCCTCGCCGTACAGCTCTCCACTGCAGTGCCCCCCGTCGTCGAGCAGCCGCACAGGCGATTCGACCCCTTCGCTGACGAGCCCGTCGCCAGCACGAGCCAAAACACTCCCCCGGCCTCATCCACGGTCGCAGCACCATCCCACCTAGCCCGCGGCCGGCCCATCGCCCCGCTCACGATCACCACAACCTCTCACTCCTCCTCTTCCTCTCCCGCGCCAACAGGCCGCCGCCGCTCCCCCTCCTTCTCCGCCGGCTCCAGCCCTGCATCTGCCCCGCGCACCCTCGCGACGCTCTCCTCCCTCACCCTCGCCTGCACCTCCTCCTCCTCCCCCAGCCCCGCCCCCTCGCTCTCCCGCCCCGCACTCCGTTCGTCGAAGAGCGCCCCATCCACACTAGCTCCCCCAACACCCGGCGCACCCACCCCCTTCCACGCGCGGCACTACCCCACCCCGGACGCCCGCGCCCGCCTCCTCGCGCGCACCCTCCTCAACCGCATCCACGCCGTTGGCCGCCCGCGCTCGCCCTATGGGTGTTCGCGGTCTGCGGCTTCATCTTTATATGGCGGGAGCGCAGATGGTTATGAGAACGAGTGCGGCGGGAGGGGGTATGTGCCAAGTCGGTTGAGTGAGTGTACGATGGCTTGTTAGCTGGGTGCCTTCCTCCTCTTCGCGCGGTGGCGACTTGGTCTTTTTGGGTTGGGTTCATCGGATTAGAACGGGATCGTTTTCTCTGGGACATTGTTGTATCATATTATCTCCTCCTCACTCACGACACACACACGCTCCTTCCCCCTCTTCCTTACTTGCTCCCCCTGGGTCTCTTCACCTCTCACCTTCACCTTCGTTTCCCTGGGTCTCACTTATCACCTTAATCCCCCCTCCCCTCCTGGGGCACCCAAAACTACCCTTATCTTCCAGTTTTCACTTACTTTTTTCTGGCTCATATCCTACTTACCTAGAGTGCGCTCCCTAATCTGGCTCGGCTTGCTTGCTGTGTATAAATGTATCGAATACAAAAACGGAATACGAATTTTTTCTTGGATTGCTCTGTCTGTCGTGTGTATCTTGTTTTGCGAACTGAGAGACTCGCTATCTTGCACAGGGGAGATAAGTGAATGTCTCCCGGCCAAATATGCGAAAGAAATGTGAAAGACAGTTACAACGCCTTTCGAATAACTGACAAAGAAATCATTGGAAAGACACGCAAAGAACATCCTGATCAAGGCATGCCTTTCTCATAAATTCTGGATACCTTTCACACTCTCTGTCGTCTGTTATTTGAAAGGCATTGTAACTGTCTTTTGCATATCTTCTGGATACCTTGCCGTCAGATATCCACTTATCTCCCCTGTGAATTGGCTGTGGGGTATGCGAACTGCGAACTGAGACAGTGACTGCGGTGAACGACTATCTCGACATTGCCTCGACAGATGTACAGCTGTGGCCCTCGGGTCGTCCCATACATGCTACCCAGACACACGGACAACATGGGCAACATCCACTTCGGCGTCGACATCCACCTGGACATCGACGTTGGCCATGCATATGGCAGTGGTGCTCGATACAGTGCACTTGCGCGACGGGCGTCTACGAAACATGGCGTCATATCTACATCGCCCCAATCTCTGGAGCTCCCAATCCCAGATCTCTGACAGTGACTCTCCCTGACTCTCCGCATCTTCCAATCGCGGCTGGGTGGGAGAGATCAGGATAGGAAGAGGCTGAGATCAAGAAGAGGCGTGGGCGTGTCAAAGGTTTGAACGTCAATCAGAGATCGGGGTTTCGGTGAAAGGGGAGTGGGTGATGCGGTCGGTGATGCGAGACGAGGAGGGGGGCGCGTCAAATGATGCGAAGGGCGGAAATTTGTGTTGGAGCTTTCAAAACAGGGAAAAAAAATCGGTGTGGGCAGTCAGTACTGAAAGGGGAGGGGGCGGTAAAAAGTTAAAGTAAATTTAAACCTTAGAGTCAGACTGCGGTATAGTAAAAAGCGCTGTTCAACGTTTCAAACATGCCTCCGGATGGAATCGAACCATCGACAATCTCATTCACCTATTAGATACTCACACTATTGTGTTGAGATGACCTTCCACGGTCCACAGAGGCTTATAACATGATGTTGAAATCATCATATGGGCAGTGTAATGGAATGGGAATGGCGGAAAAAGAGAGAGCAAACGGGCATGCCTCTGAATGGATTCGAACCATTGACGCCTCGACACACTTAGCTGAACGAGATTCTAGGGTGATGAGGTGACTTCCAAAGTCCACAGAGGCTTATAATAATTGGATGATGGGCAGTGTAATGGAATGGGGAGGACGCAGAAGGGGAGAGTAAAAAAGTCGGGGGAAAGATGAATGCCTCTGAATGGATTCGAACCATTAGCGCCTCAGTAATGTCACCGGGAAAAGGTCAAGGTGATGAGGTGACTTCCAAAGTCAACAGAGGCTTATAACTTATTGTTGAATGGTGCATCTTCAGTGTAATGGAATGTGGAGACAGAGAAAGGGAGAGAGAGAGCTGGAGGGAAAAAGAAACAAGAAAATGAAAGGAAACCTGATGCCTCCGAATGGATTTGAACCATTAATGCCTCGACTCAATTGTCTTTGGTTGCACAAGCTAAGGTGATGAGGTGACTTCCAAAGTCCCCAGAGGCCTGATTGAGCTGAAGTGAAATGCATATGTATCGTCCTTAAGATATCGAGCCCCAGACAATCAAGCAAAATGAAATGATCGGCACAGCGGCTGAATCATTTTCCAAAATTCAAAGACCTGGCTGAGCTCACCCAATAATTCTGTATCTAGTGGAGGGGAAAGAGAAAAAGGTCCAGTAAATTTAAAACAAACCCGCCAAGTTGACAAAAAGGTTATGCCTTACGATGCGCACTCAGCTATGCCTCTGGATGGATTCGAACCATTGATATTCTCGTTCAAGTGTATATGATCCAGGCCAATAGTGTTGAGATGACCTTCCACGGTCCACAGAGGCTTGTACTGCTGAGTACATGGTCTGTGTAACTGAATGACAGAGAAAGGGACAGAGAGTAAAAACCAATGTCGAATGGCCCACGCCTCTCAATGGATTCGAACCATTGATGCCTCAACATAATCAACGTCTTTGGTGAGAAGGGTGATGAGGTGACTTCCAAAGTCCACAGAGGCCTAATTGAGCTCGAGTAACACATATATTGTCCCTAAATTGTCGAGCCCCAGACAACCAAGCAAGATGATTGGGACAGCTCAAAATTCTTTGTTTCCCACGGTTGAATTTGGTACGTAAATTCAACTAGTTCCTGAAAAATGCTACTCTTTTCTCCGATGCTGTTTGTATCAATATTGAGCGAGTTCGAGTCAATAGTAATTCAAACTGGAGGCCTGAGCTATTTCAGAGGTAAATACAACAACGTAGCGCACAAAAACGGAACAATGGTTGAACTTCAACTTTGTTCGTTCCCACGCCTTGTACAAATTGAGTTTCGCATCGCGTGCTGCGTTATTGTGCTTTTGTTTCCGAACTGAGCATAGTGTGCTACTTAGTTCCATCTGCATTGCGGCGAGATTCCCCGTTGAGGAATCAAATTAATCAAACTCCGAATCAACATGAAATTCTTTTTGTTTTCTTTGCGGCGTAAATGAACTTGTTGTTGTCGAATATGGCTAACGGGCTGCTTACTGCCTTGGCGACATTTCGATTGGCTTCATCGTTGCGGGCCCATCAAGATGAGTCCTTGTCCATTTATCCCAGCAAACCTTTCCCCACATGCCGACACGTTAACAAACTGATTCCAAGTCGCAAAGATACGGTGTTCAGCACTTGTACATATAGCTCTGATGAAAAAGCGCTAGCCAATACAAAAGGACTGAAAGATACAAAACACCCGCTCCTCGAGCAAAATCGAGCTATTGTTTGACTTTGCCCACGGGCTATAGTCCTTACGTGCAACTCGTTACCCGAGAGAGCGGGTGCGAGACCGAGTTGTCCATTCTGAACGAAAGATTCCCAACCGTAAGACACGCGGTTCGGTGGACTTCCTCGGGAAACATTGTCACAAAGAAACAGCGGGGGTCGAGTTACAGCAATTTTAGAGAATCAACAGCCGTGCACATTCCGGGTAACTCGAAGGACTCGAGGGATGGAGCAGATGAAGCGGAGGAAGATTTCGGCTAGAGTCTCGTTGGGGAGGGTGTTGGCGACGTATTACTTGTAGGAGTTCAGATGCTCGCTTGGTAGTTCATCTCGACGATGCGAGCGCGGTCCGGTCGACTGCGAGATGATCGAGCATGCTGCCTGCCTAGTGCGGTCCACAGCCAGATGAGACGGACGGAAGGGGGAAAAGGTTTGAATGTAACATGATTCGGGATTCGATTGCTGCACCGTCTCGAGACTTCATTCATTCGAAAAACTGAATGATATTGCCGCTCCGAGTGGTACACGTATAAGTACATAGTTCTTCTTTGGTTAGTGCTTACGATTGAATTACAGCTGCAGGACAACCCTCCCCGCAATTTTCTGCGCGGCCAGGTCGTCGAAGATCCTTGAATGATTTCCCGTGTCAATGACCATGGTAGGCTGCAATGAATTGACCTACGCGTTGATCTCCTTGAAAGGTTTGACTTCGTAACGGCAAGCGACTTTGCCGCTGGCAGCAATTTCAAGCGCTTCAGCTACATCTTGCCGGTTCCTATACAAGTTGGTCAGAAACTGGTTAACGGGCGAGTCGAGTCTGACAAACGAACCCTACTGCAGAACCAATTATGGTCAGACGCTAGCAGTTCTGGATAAGGACACAATTTGAAAAGAGTGGCAGAATAAAACAGACTTTGTTGATGAATAATCCGATTGGAACCGAGAACGATGTGCGCCCTGAAGGAATCCCAACCGAAACGAGAGTTCCCGTGGGCCGTAAGTACATCAAAGCTTGGTCAATTGGTCCGGGCTAATACATAATTCAGTGGAAAAGGCAGTTTGGTGGGCGATGCTGCGTACATTTGCGGCGACGATGATAGCGGCATGAGGTCCTTTGCCATCTGCGGCGTTCTTTACATCCGCAATGAGATCTGTACTGGTCTTGAAGTCAACGAACTTTTCTGCCCCGAGCTGTAAGCACAGATCGCGTTTTGCGTCGCCGGTGTCTGTCCTCGAGCCGTTATTGTTTGTTGAGGTCATGAAAGCAAGCGCGCTGACCGATTGCGATGACGCGCAGTCCCATTGCTACGGCATACTGGACGCCTATGTATTCGTGTGCATTTGAAGAAAGCACGGAATGCGATGAAACTACGCGTACCTAGGTGACCGAGACCTCCACCTGCGCCGGGAATAGCGACCCATCTACCGACTTGAGGCTTGGTTTCTTTGAGTGCTTTGTAAACCGTTACACCCTATCATGCTTGACTTTTCGGTTTGATCGTCAGTGAAATCCGTGCTTACAGCGCAGAGAAGGGGTGTCGCGGCTGCGCTATCCAGCGCCTCTGGAATGGGGGTGACGTAGTCAACATACGACAGCTGAGGATGGTTTGGATGAGAGGATGTAACGTAGCTGCGGGCTGAGACGTACCGCGTAGTCCGAAAACGATCCATCCACCGTGTATCCGTGCGAGGTGTACTGGCTGCAGCCTAGTACACATGCCAATGGGTGTCAGTTGGGTAACTGAGAAGCAGACGCAAGGACCACCTACATATTTCATTCCCGGTACGGCACATTTCGCAGCTACAGTCGTCAAAGCTCCTCAATACAGTGAAATGATTCAAATGAAGCACATACTTACCTCAAGCAAGCGTTTGCAATCCACTTGATACCCACACGGTCACCCACTTTCACCGAACTACCTAGAGTATGCTCCCCGATTGCGACGACGTGTCCGATACCTTCATGTCCAGCAACCCGCGGAAACTTCACAGGGCCCCATCCTCCTTCCTTGATGTGCAAATCGGAATGGCAAACACCTTTCCATTCGACGCGCCGATTCAGAATCATCGGCGGTTGGCCGCAACTTGAATATTGAATATGATACTCACCAGCGAAGTCAATCTTGATTAGACACTCCCTTGGTTTGAGCTCTGAAGGCTGGAGGACGCGCTGGTCGTCCTTGATCTCTAGCGGTTTGTCGAAGGATGTGATGACCGCAGCCCTAGCTTGAAGAGGGATTGTGGGCGTCATGGAGTCGAAACTTTCAAGTGGGTATTCGACCTTTGTCCTGTTGGTCTGTTTTTGAGGCAGTTCCGGGGCCGGCAGAGGTTCAAACCGAGGTCAGGTGGGTCCACTAGCCGCGCGCCGCGGGTCGACGAAGCAAATTGAGCGGCTTCTGACTCTGAGTGGCGTCGCTTTAGCTATAGGGCCAATGATAATAACATCCTTCCTTCCTTCCTTCCCCCAAAGGCCTGATGCAAATCCTGACGGAAATCGGAAATTTTGACGATTTGGGCTGTTCAAAATCCTGACTTTTCAACCCGTTTTGGTGGGAAGGGCTGGTCTGAATCCTGACGAAAACGGCGGGAGGCGAAGAAAATTTTCGAAAAATGACGCCAAAATGACGAGGCTGATGGGGAAATCCTGACGGGTCCGACGAAATTTTGGGTTCAGGCCTGTGTAAATCCTGACTTTTCGAGCCAAAAATTTCCTGACTTTTCGCCTCCCAGAAAAACAGGCCTTTATGGGGATTATTGCTGAACCTTTAGGTTCGGCTACTTACAGGTGGAGAGACGTTCGATTTGGCCCACTTTTCGTAATCCAATTTTGTCATATTTCGTCATTGTCTATGTGTCATCTCAAGAACTTCAGAGTCCCAAATCCTGTGGTCGTCTTTTTAGTTTGAATACCTCTCATCTGACTGGGTACTTAGTCCTCTAACAGCTAATCTGGCTTGGCAACCCTTAGCTTTTTTGAGTTTACCAAATAACCAAGCACCAGGTATTGCCGGGTTGCCGAGCGCCGGCTCAACGCTGGTTTTAGTTTTAAGTTTTGGTGTGGATTTCCGAGCTTTTGTAAAAGTAGTCGGTCGTATTCACCGAAGCTTCGTATCATATTAAGATGAATCATCAATACAACAGCTTACCAGTGGAAGCCCAAGGAAACACTCTCAGGTTGCTCTCAGGATCACCATTAAG